TCCAGTGCTCAGTGAGAAATCTGTACCCTCAAGCCCTAGTCGCTTACTTTCAACCCACAAAACATTGAAAACGACATTTATATGCGAAGATAACGTTGGAAACGTAGATCATATCTCTCGACGGGGCTTTTTGCAATTTGAGTTAGCTTAGTAAGGTTAATACTTCTTTCATTCTTTTCGATTCGTGAGTAAAAGGGCACACGAAATCCTTGGGTACGTCCTTGACCAACATGACCAACTTGACCAACAACAACAACAACAACTTGACCAACCAACTGTCCACGTGAATCTAAATCTGGACGCATTGAGTAGAACAGCATTTGTCTCCCATTACGTAAAAACGTTTCCACCACTTCTTCGATCGCCGTTGCGTATAATTGTAGTCATAGCAGGACCAAATTTCACCAGCGGACGCCGTCGGCGCGTGCAAAAATACCACTGAACCAGGCGACAGCCAGCTGTGGTGTCGTGAGTGTGCCGTAGTGCAATTTTAGAATTTTGAACAAGGCGAATCAAAATCAAATATAACTAGGTCAGCTTTAAGTGAAAGGAGCACACGTAGGATGCATAAAGTCGATGTAAAGGTGTCGAAAATGATCAAAGGACGAGGCAACTTAGGAAATCGTAAATCGCCTCGGAACCAAACGATATATGCAAAAAACAAATTGCGTATCGCGAAATGCCGCCCTTCTAGTGAAGACTATGCTGACATTCATACTGATACACTTATGTACATGGCGTGCCAGCAGTTCAGACACTGGCTGTATTTCATTGGTTCAGTACCCCCATTTTACTGACAGTGGCGCCATCATAGCGCCAAATCAACTGGCGAAAAACACGCCAACTGACCAGTTACCCACGATTCAATGCAACGGAGGGATTGGCATGAGTGCACCGGCATTCGGAGATACGCCTGTGGCTATCCCACATTTGTTCGTCTGGACGTCGGGACACAGTGAAGATGGTCAGGTCCTAGAATCTTTTTGCATTCACATTCACATCTCTACTTACCCTCGTACTTGTGTCGGTACGTACACCATCCGACCACACCCCCTCCGTGACCCAGTTACTGGGATGAGGACGGGTCTACTGAGCGTCGCCGCCGGCCCAGTCGCAATGCCCCGGCCGGTCGGCCGTATAAAAGTCGAGTGGCGGTCTCGGCCAGCATCAGATTCTCCACAGAGTCAATTGGTCCAATACAGCCATGAAGCTGGTAAGGTTTTGCTTGGAACAGGGATTTCAGCTTCCGGAGCAGAAGCATTTCAAAAATGGAAGAAATGTTGATTGAATATTTTGCAGCATGCAGCCGGGGTTTCCCTTCAAATATGGTTAAAACAAAGTAAATAACGTCTGACTTTCACAAGAGAATACCCTTCAGGACAACCAGCATATCTGGAGCTATGTAGTTCCGACCACCTGGGGCAAACGGTGGCCAGTGATACAGCATTCCCTCGTTACGACAGTAGTGTCTGCTTGTACCGCTACTTCTACCATCTATACTACTGCATATACACATACATACACTTCTCCTTGCTTAACCATGTGTGGTGACCCATGCGATATCTTTCATCACATTCTTGTCCACTCTTTCAGGTTCTGCTCGCCGTCGTTGTGGCCGTGGCCGCTGCCGCCCCAGACCGCAGCTACGAGGCCCCGAAGGTGTACGAGATCCTGAAGCAGGAGTCTGAGCTGCGCGACGACCAGTCCTACGACTCACAGTAAGTGACTCAGTTTTGTATTAGAGAAATGCTCATTACGAACGTGCGATTTGTGAACGTCATTTTAAGGGAGCAAACGCAAAAACGCCAGATCCCTGAACCTCGACATGCTGTGAGATGGCATGCTTGTAAGGTGCCTAACACTTAATTGCATTCCAGTTTCGAGACGGAGAACGGCATCTATGCCTCCGAGTCTGGCAGGCCGGTGGAGGGATACGGCGATGAGGAGAGCTATGACGTCAACGGGGAGTTCAGCTACACTGGTCCCTACGGCGTCGTCTACAAGGTTGTCTACGTGGCCGACGCCAACGGCTTCCAGCCCCAGGGCGACCACCTGCCCACCCCTGTGCCCACCGAGTACCCTACCCCGGAGGTGTCTTATGACGATGATGATGAGGAGAGGTACGAGGTGCGGGTTGGCTACGGGCCCAGCTACAACTAGGACAGGAAAACGCGGAGACGACATACAACCAGCTTTGTACCTGACTAAGCAACGAGTGTTTGTCCCGTCCTTGATGGTATGCACTTGGTTGTGTATATCCACGTGTGCGTGTCATGTGTCTGATAACTTATTTGGTTGGATGGAATGCGAGCAATAGATGCAACGCGTCGACTAGCTTTTGTGTTTGTGTTAGCCCTTTGCATTTACTTATGCACAAAACCATCATTTCGATGAATCTAATTTGGTTGAAAATGTACAATCCTCGGACAGCAGGAGACAGCCACTTACAGCGCTCATTTTCTTGCCATACGAGGCTGACGAAATTATTTATGCCGGTACATAACGCATTATTTATGCCGGTGCATAATCATTTTTGCCGGCACACAGATCAATTTATGCCAGTACAACTACACCCTCCTTCAAACCGTAGAAATGGGAGTGGAAAATAATCCCATCAACCCAGTACAGCAATTCCGGTGCAACAGACAATAATGTGCCGCTGCTTTCTAAGCTGTACCACACCCGAACGGTCCCATCATACCAGACAAACCACAGGACGGCTGCCCCACCAGCCTGAGTTCCACCTGACGGGACGTCTGCTAGCTGTTCTCTGCGACTCACATAGCGGACGCTATTTCTGGGGCCCGGGGCTCAGTTTACCACACGCCTGGCCACATGTCCGGTTCGAAGACCTCAGCTGCGCCTCGAAAATGCTGAACAGAGAATGCTCGCCATGCAGGCGGCTCTGAAAATACGTTATTGAATTATGACCATGAGTTCTACCACATTCATGGCACCAGTCAGGAAAGATCTCTGTCAAGAGCGCATCAGTAAAAAGCATCATACGCGCAAATGACGGGAGTGGTTCGTACTTGTATGGGTTTTTGAACTGAAATAGCCATCTTGAAGATTACTCGATGCAGCTCACAGCCCTTCCATCCTGTAGACGTAAACCCCTCTATTTTCTGAGGAACACGCCTGCGAAAATGTACATGCTTTTTGGAAACTACTATTTTAAGGTCCCACAGACATCCACGGCACCAAAATAACGCCATTTAAATATTGCTGTTCCATTAGCCATGCGGTGGCCAAGGTCAAGGAAAAAAAACTGTCGAATCATTCATGCGTGACGTTCGTGAGCACGATTTCCAGACATGACGGCCGTCAATTGGCTGCCAATCAATGTTGTGCAGAGTTCTGTGAAGTAATCAAACCATGATGCATCAAGGAACATCTTTACTACCCAGAGAAATAGTGTTGTTTAGAGCAGCCTTTTTCACTTAAAAGTATGCAAATAGTTACAAGTGAGCAGATGTAATCAAATCTGGTGCTTGGCTCACTATCTTCAAATGTGGAACGTTTTTTTTAAAAGAGAGCAGGGTGCCTTTTGATTTCACAACGAGAAAAGAATTAGTACCCCGCCACCAGAGAAAGCTGCCGGACTAAGATTCATTTTCGCCACGGAAGGGAACGGGGAATTTTTTACTTTTCTCGTGCGTCCCTAACGCGGCGTGTGGTCCAATAAGCGTCGAAATATGGTTTAAAGTCATCCGCCATTCTTTCCCGTTTCATCTTGCATCCTTCCGACGCCCACTTATCAAGGGCTACATGCACCAGGCATGAGTGGGCTCTAAGAGAGTGTCCCGCGGTTGCATGAGGTTTTGAACTAAGCGTGCCATCTTGAAGTTTATCCAGTGCACTTCACAGCCCTTGACTTGAAAACCCCTCTGTTTCTGAGCTAGCCTCCCGCGAAGTTGTGCAGAAGTTGTGCAAACTACCAAGTGCAGACTATTCCAAGGTCACCCAGGCGTGCATGGCCCAAAAGAAACGTCACCCAAATACTGCCAGCTCATTGGCCATGCGGCCTTCGAGGCCAGAACAAATATGATCGTCAAGATACTCGCGTTAAGAGCACACATTTTGGAACCAACAGACTCCAGTTGACTCTAAACCAATGTAAAATATGCAAAAAAAAAAAACAGACTGGGTAATGCGCAATTCCGCCATTTTAGTAAAGACTATGCTGATACTGATAGTGATACCTTTATGTACCTAGTGTGCCAGCAGTTCAGACACTGGATGCATTTCATTGGTCCAGTATTCCCATTCTGCTCAGGTACATTTGACACCAGACAGACCATGAGGTAAAACGTAATGGAAAATCCCTGTTTCAATTTACTTCTCTTCATTTACTAGGATCATTTTGTTGATTTCATGCACACCGAAATTTGCTTCATCAGTTATGCACAATGCCGTTGCATTTCCCAAAGTTTGCCCACTTTAGACACCAAACCGGTACCAAATGTCTTCCGTCATGGTGAGAACACCATTGATAGTGAAAATGCAGACTGTGGCGAGACTAACCAACGGGAACTTGTAATTAACACTTGAGCGGCTGCGTGCTAAGCGACCACTGCCGCGATTGGGGCTTAGTACCATTAAAATGTTAATAGCTGGCAGTAGCGCCATCATAGCGCCAAATCAACTGGCGAAAAACAAGCCAACTGACCAGTTACCCACAATTCAATGCAACGGAGGCATTGGCATGAGTGCACCGGCATTCGGAGATACGCCTGTGACTATCCCACATTTGTTCGTCTGGACGTCGGGACACAGTGAAGATGGTCAATGCCGAGAATCTTTTCGCGTTCACATTCACATCTCTACTTACCCTCGTACTTGTGTCGGTACATACACCATCCGACCACACCCCCTCCGTGACCCAGTTACTGGGATGAGGACGGGTCCACTGAGCGTCGCCGCCGGCCCAGTCGCAATGCCCCGGCCGGTCGGCCGTATAAAAGTCGAGTGGCTGTCTCGGCCAGCATCAGGTTCTCCACAGAGTCAATTGGTCCAAGACAACCATGAAGCTGGTAAGGTTTTGTTTGGCACGGGGATGTCAGGTTCCGGAACCAAAGCATTTCAAAAATGGAAGAAATGTTGATTGAATATTTTGCAGCATGCAGCCGGGGTTTCCCTTCAAATATGGTTAAAACAAAGTAGACAACGTCTGGTCTTCATCAAAGGATGACCTTCCGGACAACCAGTATATCTGGAGCTATGTAGTTCCGATCACCTGTGGTAAACGGTGGCCAGTGATACAACAATCCCTCGTTACGACAGTAGTGTCTGCTTGTACTGCTACTTCTACCATCTATACTACTGCATATACACATGCATACACTTCTCCTTGCTTAACCATGTGTGGTGACCCATGCGATATCTTTCATCACATTCCTGTCCATTCTTTCAGGTTCTGCTCGCTGTCGTTGTGGCCGTGGCCGCTGCTGCCCCGGACCGCAGCTACGAGGCCCCGAAGGTGTACGAGATCCTGAAGCAGGAGTCTGAGCTGCGCGACGACCAGTCCTACGACTCACAGTAAGTGACTCAGTTTTGTATTAGAGAAATGCTCATTACGAACGTGCGATTTGTGAACGTCATTTTAAGGGAGCAAACGCAAAAACGCCAGATCCCTGAACCTCGACATGCTGTGAGATGGCATGCTTGTAAGGTGCCTAACACTTAATTGCATTCCAGTTTCGAGACGGAGAACGGCATCTATGCCTCCGAGTCTGGCAGGCCGGTGGAGGGATACGGCGATGAGGAGAGCTATGACGTCAACGGGGAGTTCAGCTACACTGGTCCCTACGGCGTCGTCTACAAGGTTGTCTACGTGGCCGACGCCAACGGCTTCCAGCCCCAGGGCGACCACCTGCCCACCCCTGTGCCCACCGAGTACCCTACCCCGGAGGTGTCTTATGACGATGATGATGAGGAGAGGTACGAGGTGCGGGTTGGCTACGGGCCCAGCTACAACTAGGACAGGAAAACGCGGAGACGACATACAACCAGCTTTGTACCTGACTAGACAACGAGTGCTTGTCCCGTCCTTGATGGTATGCCCTTGTTTGTGTATATCCACGTGTGTGTGTCATGTGTCTGATAATTTATTTGGTTTGAGGGAATGCGAGCAATAGATGCAACGCGTCGATCAGCTTTTGTGTTCTGTGTTAGCCCTGTGCATTCACTTATGCACAAAACCATCATTTCGATAAATCTAATTTGATCGAAAATGTACAATCCTCGGACAGCAGGAGACAGCCACTTACAGCACTCATAACCTTGCCATACGAGGCTGGCGAAATTATTGATGCCGGTACATATTACATTATTTATGCCGGTACACAAATAAATTTATGCCGGTACAACTACACTCTCCTGCAAACCGTAGAAGTGGGTGTGGAAACTAATCCCATCAATCCAGTACAGCAATTCCGGTCCAGCAGACAATAATGTGCCGCTGCTTTCTAAGCTGTACCACACCCGAACGGTCCCACCATACCAGACAAACCACAGGACAGCTGCCCCACCAGCCTGAGTTCCACCTGACAGGACGCCTGCTAGCTGTTCTCTGCGACTCACATAGCGAACGCTATTTCTGGGGCCCGGGACTCAGTTTACCACACGCCTGGCCACATGTCCGGTTCGAAGACCTGAGCTACGCCTCGAGAATACTGAACAGAGAATGCTCGTCATTCAGGTGACTCTGAAAATACGTTATTTAATTATAACCATGAGTTCTACCACATTCATGACACCAGTTAGGAAAGATCTCTGTCAAGAGCGCACCAGTAAGAAGCATCATGCGCACAGTCGACGGGAGTGGTTCGTATTTGTATGGGGGTTTGAACTGAAACAGTCATCTTGAAGATTATTCGGTGCAGTTCGTAACCCTGCCAGCCTGTAGACCTAAACCCCTCTATTTTGTGAGGAACACGCCTGCAAGCATGTGCACACTTTTTGGGGAAGACTATGTTAAGGTCCCACAGACATCCATGACACCAAAATGACGCCATTTAGATCTTGCTGTTCCATTAACCATGCGCTGGCCAAAGTCAAGGGAAATATAACTGTCGAGTCGTTCATGTGTGACGCTCATGAGCACGACATCCAGACGTGACGGACGTCAATTGGCTCTTAATCAATGTTGTGCAGAGGTCAATGAAGTAATCAAACCATGATATATCGAGGACCGTCTTTACTAACCAAAGTGTAATCAAGTCTGGTGCTTAACTCATTATCTTTATATGTGAAACGTTCATTCTAAAACAGAACAAAGTGCTTTGTGATTTCACAACGAAATAAATAATTGGGACTCCACCACCAGAGAAAGCTGCAGGACTTAGATTCATTTCCGCTACGCAAGGGAAGCGGGGAGTTTTTCACTTCGCCTCGTGCGTCTCTAACGCGGCGTGTGGTTCAATAAGCGTCGAACTGTGGTTTAAAATCATCCGCCACTCTTCTCATTTCATCTTGTATCCTTCCGACACCCACTTATCAGAGGCTACATGCACCAGCAATGAGTGGGCTCTAAGAGAGTGTTCCGCAGTTGTATGAGGTCTTGAGATGAGCACGCCATTTTAAAGATCCATTCCGTGCACTTTACAGCCCCGCCCTTCTTCAGACTTGAAACTCCTCTGTTTTCTGAGCTAGACTGGCGCGAAGTTGTGCGGACTATTGCGTGCGGACGATTTCAAGGTCACCCAGGCATGCCGGGCGCAATAGAAACGTCACCCAAATACTGCCAACTCATTGGCGATGCGGCCTTCGAGGCCAAAACAAATATGATCGTCAAGACATTCGCGTTAACATAAAAGAGCACACATTTCAGAACCAACAAACTCCAGTTGGCTCTCAACCAATCTCATGCATTCATTGCAAATTTGGGACACAAATCGCTGCGACATAGTACAGGCGGTTGGACAGTTGTCCTGCTCATTGCAGAGATAAGACCTGTAATTGAATGCTTGAAAAAAGCAGAACAGCCGAGCACGTGAATGCAACAAAACATATCAGATTTTGCTTGCGGTAGGCGGCAACGCAAGTCGGCGGAGACTCGTGGGCAAATACCGTCACGACGCATTTTAGAGTTGCCCAACGCATTGGGAACAGACAAGATTCGCGCATGCAAACGTAGAGGTAACTGGTTTGTTACTCTCCATGACACTAACCCGCTCTCACTTAGAAGCTGCTACACGGCGTTGGCCACTTAATTTTTAAACTGTTTCTTATTTTCAATCAAAAGAGAAATTTGTAACCCTTCCGATTTTTCGTCCGCGTGGATGCCGTATTCCGTGCTGCGAATGGAACCATCGTCCCCACACTTAGAGTAGCCAAGTTCCAGTGCTCAGTGAGAAATCTGTACCCTCAAACCCTAGTCGCTTACTTTCAACCCACAAAACATTGAAAACGACATTTATATGCGAAGATAACGTTGGAAACGTAGATCATATCTCTCGACGGGGCTTTTTGCAATTTGAGTTAGCTTAGTAAGGTTAATACTTCTTTCATTTTTTTCGATTCGTGAGTAAAAGGGCACACGAAATCCTTGGGTACGTCCTTGACCAACATGACCAACTTGACCAACAACAACAACAACAACTTGACCAACCAACTGTCCACGTGAATCTAAATCTGGACGTGTTGAGTAGAACAGCATTTGTCTCCCATTACGTAAAAACGTTTCCACCACTTCTTCGATCGCCGTTGCGTATAATTGTAGTCATAGCAGGACCAAATCCCACCAGCGGACGCCGTCGGCGCGTGCAAAAATACCACTGAATCAGGCGACAGCCAGCTGTGGTGTCGTGAGTGTGCCGTAGTGTAATTTTAGAACTTTGAACAAGGCGAATCAAAATCAAATATAACTAGGTCAGCTTTAAGTGAAAGGAGCACACGTAGGATGCATAAAGTCGATGTAAAGGTGTCGAAAATGATCAAAGGACGAGACAACTTAGGAAATCGTAAATCGCCTCAGAACCAAACGATATATGCAAAAAACAAATTGCGTATCGCGCAATGCCGCCCTTCTAGTGAAGACTATGCTGACATTCATACTGATACACTTATGTACATGGCGTGCCAGCAGTTCAGACACTGGCTGTATTTCATTGGTTCAGTACCCCCATTTTGCTGACAGTGGCGCCATCATAGCGCCAAATCAACTGGCGAAAAACACGCCAACTGACCAGCTACCCACGATTCAATGCAACGGAGGGATTGGCATGAGTGCACCGGCATTCGGAGATACGCCTGTGGCTATCCCACATTTGTTCGTCTGGACGTCGGGACACAGTGAAGATGGTCAGGTCCTAGAATCTTTTCGCATTCACATTCACATCTCTACTTACCCTCGTACTTGTGTCGGTACGTACACCATCCGACCACACCCCCTCCGTGACCCAGTTACTGGGATGAGGACGGGTCCACTGAGCGTCGCCGCCGGCCCAGTCGCAATGCCCCGGCCGGTCGGCCGTATAAAAGTCGAGTGGCGGTCTCGGCCAGCATCAGATTCTCCACAGAGTCAATTGGTCCAAGACAGCCATGAAGCTGGTAAGGTTTTGCTTGGAACAGGGATTTCAGCTTCCGGAGCAGAAGCATTTCAAAAATGGAAGAAATGTTGATTGAATATTTTGCAGCATGCAGCTGGGGTTTCCCTTCAAATATGGTTAAAACAAAGTAAATAACGTCTGACTTTCACAAGAGGACACCCTTCAGGACAACCAGCATATCTGGAGCTATGTAGTTCCGACCACCTGAGGCAAACGGTGGCCAGTGATACAGCATTCCCTCGTTACGACAGTAGTGTCTGCTTGTACCGCTACTTATACCATCTATACTACTGCATATACACATACATACACTTCTCCTTGCTTAACCATGTGTGGTGACCCATGCGATATCTTTCATCACATTCTTGCCCATTCTTTCAGGTTCTGCTCGCTGTCGTTGTGGCCGTGGCCGCTGCCGCCCCGGACCGCAGCTACGAGGCCCCCAAGGTGTACGGGATCCTGAAGCAGGAGTCTGAGCTGCGCGACGACCAGTCCTACGACTCACAGTAAGTGACTCAGTTTTGCTTTAGAGAAATGCTCATTACGAACGTGCGATTTGTGAAGGTCATTTTAAGGGAGCAAACGCAAAAACGCCACATCCCTGAGCCTCAACATGCTGTGAGATGGCATGCTTGTAGGGTACCTAACGCTTAGTTGCATTCCAGTTTCGAGACGGGGAACGGCATCTACGCCTCCGAGTCTGGCAGGCCGGTGGAGGGATATGGCGATGAGGAGAGCTATGACGTCAACGGGGAGTTCAGCTACACTGGTCCCTACGGCGTCGTCTACAAGGTTGTCTACGTGGCCGACGCCAACGGCTTCCAGCCCCAGGGCGACCACCTGCCCACCCCTGTGCCCACCGAGTACCCTACCCCGGAGGTGTCTGATGACGATGATGATGAGGAGAGGTACGAGGTGCCGGCTGGCTACGGGTCCAGCTACAACTAGAACAGGAAAACGCGGAGACGACATGCAACCAGCTTTTTACCTGACTAGACAACGAGTGCTTGTCCCGTCCTTGATGGTATGCCCTTGTTTGTGTATATCCACGTGTGTGTGTCATGTGTCTGATAATTTATTTGGTTGGATGGAATGCGAGCAATAGATGCAACGCGTTGATCAGCTTTTGTGTTCTGTGTTAGCCCTTTGCATTCACTTATGCACAAAACCATCATTTCGATAAATCTAATTTGATCGAAAATGTACAATCCTCGGACAGCAGCAAACAGCCACTTACAGCACTCACATCCTTGCCATACGAGGCTGGCGAAATTATTTATGCCGGTACATATTACATTATTTATGCCGGTACACAAATAAATTTATGCCGGAACAACTACACCCTCCTTCAAACCGTAGAAGTGGGTGTGGAAACTAATCCCATCAACCCAGTACAGCAATTCCGGTCCAACAGACAATAATGTGCCGCTGCTTTCTAAGCTGTACCACACCAGAACGGTCCCACCATACCAGACAAAACACAGGACGGCTGCCCCACTAGCCTGAGTCCCACCTGACAGGACGCCTGCTAGCTGTTCTCTGCGACTCACATAGCGAACGCTATTTCTGGGGCCCGGGACTCAGTTTACCACACGCCTGGCCA